ATACCCAAACACATGAATGCAAGCAATTATTGATATTTCTATTTTTGCAAAATGTCAACTCTTGACTCTGGCAGAATACTGCACTGAGGGTAAAAAAACTGGTTTCCATTATTGTATCTTTTTAATTTTGGACAAAAATTGCTTCCATTCCCAACTTAATTTTATGTCACTAATGGGAAATTTACCTACAATTGCATTTTGTTATTTGGTCTGAATACATTACACAAAGAGTGGATTGGCACTCTGTGTTTTAGAATGAACAGATTTGTCTGGATATAAACAGTTTTATTTATATTGTGCTCAATTCAATCATGTTAACATTTGTATGAATTTCAACTCCAAAATAAAGGCCCATAATTTGTGACTCAAAGACCTTGAAACTACATCTGTAATAGTCTTCAACACCAGGCATTTTCTAAATGTTTGCAGATGATAAATTCCTCAGAAATAATAAAGATGATTTGGGAAACAATGTTTATGTCTGAAATGGCACTCTGTGGGGGGACTATTTTTTCTCGAGAAGTCCCAAGGATAGCTGGTTGTTCAGTCTTTTGGGCTTATCACCTGTTTGCTCATTGGTCTCATTTGTTCCTTGGTTTAATGCTGAATGCTAAGACCCTGCCTGATGTGTGACTGTAGATGGGTTGTGGTCCTGCTCTCCAGGGTCTCATCCTGTGCACACAGGTACACTGGAAGGCAGCAGTGGCAAAATGAGAAGAAAGGATCTTGGTCTAGCAGGCCCAAAACTTGTAGAATGAAGCTCAAGTCCTCATCTGGCTGTCACCCACTGATACTCTTATAAAGCTACTCTTCTTGGAGCTTTAGATTACTTGCAAGCAGAATGTTGACTCCCTGTGATCTGCATGGGATAAACTTATGGTCCTAGAAAGCACTTGGTAAACTGTAAAGTAACCATAAAGGGACCTTGTGACAAAGTAAGTTCCTTATAAGATACATAAACCAAATAAGAAAATTTATGGTTCAGCTTCAGGTGGGTTGATCAGAATTGGAATTATTCCCAGGGCAGAATTTGAAGAATGTATAAAATTTCTGAGTACTGAGTACTGATCTGAGTACTGATCCTCAATATTCACTTCTGGAAAGCTTATACATAGTTTTGGAAGACCTTGAATGCCTGGCTCAGGAGCATTCTGTATGAGTTAGGGATAAGGAGCAAGTCAGAGGTGAGTTTTTGTTTAGTCTCCTCTGCATATCAGCTGTGAGATTTGGGGCAAGTTAGTCTGTCCATGTGTCAGTTCTCACATCGGCAGTGTTATCCCCATAATAATGCCTACCCTTTAGGGCTAACATAAGGCTTTAAGTGAAATTAAGAGTTTAGGACAGGATAGCCCCATATAAGTGCTTGGTAAAAATCAAGGGGAAGCAGAACCCAGTGTGAATATAACACCATCAAAGCTGATCTTTAGGAGATTAAATTGTACTGTAACGCAGCCAGTGAAAAGAGGGAAGCTTTCTGAGGGCAGGAAAAAAGAACTGAAGCAATGCAGGTGGTTGTGTCTACATACAACCCCAATAGGACTTTAAGGTGGGATGCAGATCTCACCAAATCTATAGTGTAGTGAAGGAGGACAAAAAAGAAAGAATTGTTATATGCCCATTGGGGATAATGTCTAACTCACAGCATTAGAGAAATCTCAGATAGCAGAGTGACAATGAGTATACAGATTTATTTTCAGTGCTTTCACCCTGTAAGTAATTTTTGTAACCCTAATCTGAGGGTTACAAAATAAGAAAAATCTAAAGATTAAATTAGGTAGTATTTTACACACACACACACACACACACACATACAGTCTAGCCAGTCAGGTAGTAGATTCTCATAAAAAACTCTGAATCAATTATTATTTTTTGAAAAGAATTAGCTGTATCTGCCTTTAAAAAGGCATTGAAAAGTTCTGAATAATGACCAAACAATTGTTGAGGGTATATTATATCCAGGTTCTGCACTAAGGGCTTTATGTTTAATATGCACAATATTCCTGTAAGATCAGTATGTTTATCATTCCATTTTACAGCTGAGAGGATTGAGGTAGGGAGAAATATAAGTTGTTTTCTTGAGTCATGTAATTAGGAGATGGGGAGCCAGGATGTGATCAGAGACAATTTGATTTGGAAACCTGCATTCTTATTCATAGTCACTTGTGGCATACTGCTTCCCAGTTTGATTTCCTTAGTTAACATTTGACTACTATTCTAAGTAATATTTTTGTCTATTTTTTTATCAGGGAAGTAGCACTGTTCTAAGAAATGTATTTTAAAGAGGATGAATATATTAGACAGAGACCCTGCTTGTAGAAAAGTCTTATTGACAAGAGCTCCTGCAGCCCCCTGCCTGGCTAAAGGAGAGCAGACTCCTGAGCAGAGCCCTCCTATAGCAAACTGTACACCTGCAGACCCTGGTAGATAGTCAAGCATAGAACATGACTTCTAGGACTGTGCAGGTTAATTAATCACAGTAATGCAATGAAGAAAAAGCACACACTACCTCCCTTGCCTGAGAAAATAGCATGCATCAACAGCTCTCTTCCAAGATGTAGAAACCAACCTGGAGCAGCTGCTCTATGTGGAGGTATTAAGTGTTGTGAAAACACCTGTGTGTGTCTAATTCCAGCCCAAACAAGTCTCCTTCTGGCTCATCAAGGTGGAGAGAGAATTTACCTAAATGGAGATGACTATCTCCAGTAGACCAATTTGTCTGTTATTTCCTGTACAGATTTCTCCCCCTCCATTTGAAAAAAAAATTGTGGTATAATTTACATACAATAAATTTGCACATATTAAGTGCTTGGTTTGATGAATTTTGACAATTTTTATACCCATGCAACCACCAGCCCAAACAAGAAAATCCCTGTTATGTCCCTTTCTAGTAAATTCCCTCTCCTGTTCTTCTGACTTCTGTCCCCATAGATTAGTCTTGCCTGTTGTTGGATTTGATATAAATAAAATCATACAGATATTCTCTTGTGTGTGGCTGCATTCCATTATTTATGGAATGTTCTCCATAAATAAAGAGGCGAAGACTGACACATGCATCAGGGACGAATGTCTGTAGAGTTGTGCATGGAACTTTGCAAGGTTCATTTTCTTCATATTACTTCCATATTCTTAGTAATCAAAATGACCCACAGAGTCTGCTTTTTCTCCATGCCTATCATAGTGTATGATTTCTGACTTCATTTTCCCTCTCTATTCTTTTATGATTAAAAAAAAAATCCGACCTTTAGAACATGGTCAGTTTAGATTCCTCTCAGGGGGTGATCACAATCATGGTTCTGGAAAGGAAGTTAACATTGTGGAAGGATCTTTTGAAAACAGAAGTTTGTCAGATATGTTACCCGCTATCTTTTTAGTATTTGCAAGTGCCAGAAGGAGAAGCCAGGAAGCACACCAGCCCTGGTGGGTGGTGTCCGGCAGGCCCTGGCTGTTCATTTCATGGCGACCACACGCTGCGTGCTGTGCACTTCTCATTGTCATGAGGGAGAATGTTAGGAAAACTATCCCCACAAGAAAACAGCTTTTCTTGGCAAGTGAAATATGACTTCAGGAGCCAGAACTGGAGACATACGGTACTATGAATGAGAGCTGTGTTACTTTATTGGATCTGAGTCCAGGCACTATTTATACTGCAGCATATTCAGCACCAGATTGTTAAATCTTAATACTGAAACAGTGCATCATTTTAATATTTTTGTTCTGTTTATTCCCTGTTTTCAAGCATTATGTCAAGCATTGCGCATTCATTTATTTCATCTTGGACAGGACGTGCCCTGACCAGAAAGTTCATTTCCGATTGTGGGGATTTTGCCCCATAGCTATAAAGCATCATTTTGTGAATCTTTTAAAAATACACTTGGGTATACAGGTGTTCTCTCTCTCTTTGGCGATAATATATATATATATTTAAAAGAATCATGTAGTTAGACTCACCTATATTTTCAAAAATCACAATAAAAAATCCAGTTTTTCTTTTATCTCAAACATAACTTTTTTATGTGTGACGATTTTTGATATCCTGGGGACCATCAGATTTTTTTTCCATAGTCTAGAAATAAAATTTTTGTTACCCTCTGCCATTTGTGAAATGAGTTTCTCTATTTTTCTTCATCAGTGTTCTGTGTGCCCTACGCACCAGATAAGCTGGGCCCATCTGATGAATAAGTTAGCATTTTCACCATATGTTGCTGAAGCCATCCCATGAATCTGCCTGGAACAAGGGTGTTCCTAAAATTGCTGCTCGCTGTAGACCAAGGGTGACCAGGATTTTTACTCTTTTCTCCTTCTGTGGTGTGTTTGCCTTGTGCAGCAGGAAACCCACAGGGAAAGGGTATTATTGTCATTCTAAAAAGAGCCAAGGTATTAAAAAATGCAAAGGAGCTGAAGGCATCTCTGCTATTTCTGATCTGGGGTCAATGTGTGTGCCATTGCATTTGGCGCAGGAAGGCAGCCCCTCTCTCTGGTGGAATGCGGGATGTGGACCTGGAGGTTCACTCTGCTTCATCTATTGCACATTCGCTTTGGGAATAACACCGCAGTCAGAATGTGACTGCGTGCTGAGCCCACACACAGGAATTTTCTTGTTCAATTCAAAACCAAATCTTGTATTTACTTAAAGCTTGCTTTTTTTTTTGTCTATGAAATCAGCAGTCCTGTATATTTAGCATCAGTCTTAAGTTAGACTGTGAATCAAGACTTTGGGGGAAGGAAGTATCCGTATGGTTTTCTAAGTAATTTAAGAAACAGGAAAACATAAAAGAACTGATTGTCCATGATTAAATCTCATCCTTTTCATTCCCATCTTCCTGTATAGTTAACTAACTCAATTGTCAGCCAGAAAGAAATAGCTTATTGCACTGGGTTGTAAAATATCTGAGTGGGCCTTGAGTGTTGACTGTTGAATGACCTTCTTAACATTGAGCAAACAATGGGAAGGTTTAATAAATAGCAGATATGTGTTTATTATGTTTTTCTTCCCTGTGCAGGAATAATCAAGCTGGGGAGGTGGAACCCTCTCCCCCTCAGTTATGTGACAGATGCACCCGACGCGACGGTGGCCGACATGCTGCAAGATGTCTATCATGTTGTGACTCTGAAAATCCAATTACAAAGGTGGGTGTTTCTGAACATCTGCCTTTCCTTCCTTTTGGAGTTGGTCTGTCGATCATAGATGTACTGCAGAGAGCAGCATGTCCTGTCTTCATTAATATCTAGACATTGGATGAAATGAAAAGGAGGAGAGAGAAAGAGGAGGGAAGGAGGGGGCGCTGTACCAGGCATCTTTATAGTCCACATTCCAACTGTTTTATGTTTTGTTTTCAGAAGCAGTGAAGTGGTAACCCAGGGGCAGCTTGATAAATCATTACAAAGCTGCAGGGAACTTAACGGGGAACTTTCCACAGCCCCTCATTCAGTGGGTCCTCTAGGCATGGTTCAAAGCTTAGCATGTGGCATTTGAAGAATAAACCCCTCTGCTGTCTTTTTGTGTTATGAAGGGCGAGTTTGGGTCCTGTGGCAGGTTTACCAAGCGTGCACTGGCACTGGAAATCTTTTTTCTCTCCTTCTGATGACCGCCCCAATAAAATGCACTCTGTGGCCTTCAGAGACACTTGGAATGTTCCCTCAATTTCTCCCACCCTTCCTTCTTCCAGATAGGCTATCCAAAGCAAGGTATGCCTCTAAAGGTTCTTTGCAGTTTTAGTTGTAAAGTGCCTGGTAGTTGTGACTTCAGGAATGCTGTGTTTCAGTTTTCTCCTTTTGGAGGATTTATTCTTTAATAGGGACCCAACATCCCTCTCCTTATCTGGGAATGCTTGAGTGTCTTATCTTAGAAGTTATCTTTTGACAGAAGAGTAACATCTCTGTTTCTGGGAGGCTGGGCCTTCAGACTTCAAATCTGCTGTAACATTTGCCGACATTTGACCTTAGGAATGCCTAGTAGTTGAATATGTGTTGGGAAAGTTTATCGCCACACTGCCTTGCCATTTTCATTAGCACTTTGGGGAAAAAAAATCACTATTTTTAAAAAATAGGTGTTTTTTCATATTCAAAGGGACTGCTTTTGTTAGGAAGTGGGATCACTAACTTAGAGACTGTCTCCTAGTCTATTGAGGTTCAAGTTCCTGGAGAGGAAGTTTTGCTTCCTTTCCCTCCCTTCGGGCCCACCTTAGACACCATTGCTCGGCAGCTCTCCTAATGCTGGTACAAGGTGGTGGAACCACCACTGCACTCCTGTCTTCTGCTGTCACAGCCCTCCCTTGAGGTTCTTGGGTTGTTCATTGTCCCTCTGTTTTGCAGTTGTTCAAAGTTGGAAGACTTGCCTGCGGAGCAGTGGAACCATGCCACAGTCCGCAATGCCTTAAAGGAACTGCTCAAAGAGATGAACCAGAGCACATTAGCCAAAGAATGCCCTCTCTCCCAGGTCAGTATCTGCAGGGGAGGTCTGGGAAATGGAAAGCCGTCGGTGGACTGTCTAACAGGAGGCTACTTCTGCTTAGGCAGCTGTCGTCTCTGTCTTTTATTTATGCAGTCACACTGCATTTGTGGTGGAAAAAACAGAGATTATGGTGCTTTTGGTTATACAGTAGAAGTTATCACTTACTGAGAACTTTGATGCAGTAGGAACATGTGAAAACATTCTTATCTACATAACCATCAGCTTTTCATGTATATATTTAGTGTCAGTCTTAAGTTAGAAGAATGGGGCATTACTGCTTAGAAGTTACAGACCTATTGGGGGTGATGAAGTAGGGATCATTGGAAGTAGGGTTCAATGTCTCTATTTTACAGATCAGGAAACTGGGGCTTGGATTAAAACTTAAATTCCCACTTAAGGGCCAGGCACTGTGGTACTTGACTGTAGGAGGCTGAGGCAGGAGGATAACAAGCTTGAGGCCAGCCTCAGCAACTTATCAAGGCCCTAAACAAATTATTGAGAACCTATCTCAAAATAAAAAATAAAAAGGGCTGGGGAAGTAAGGCAGTTGTAAAGTGTCCTTGTGTTCAGTGCCCAATATGGAAAAAAAAAAAAATCCTGCCTAAAGTACTCATACTGGTTAAGTGGCCACTTGAAATCTGGCTCCAGACTTTCCCTTCCAAAGCCTGTGCTCCAGAACATTGCTTTGCTTGGTCAATGGAATGAGTCAGTCATTCCTTAACCCATCTCTGCAAGACAAATAAAGCCTCTTTCCTTTTGGTGGAGAGAGATGATCTTTACATCCATTACACTTGTAGAGGTTTTTGAGCAAGTTCAACATGTAAAACTGCACCATGAGAAAAAGTAATAGTCCATTTTAGTGAACCAGCATAAGCTAAAACCATGAAAATAAAAGATTGAAAGGATCAAAGGAATGAACCAAAGCCAACCCATATTAGGTATTTTCCTCATTCATCTTGGCAGTTCCATAAAGGAACAATTCAGTGGATAGTACATATTTTCTTGAACATCCCAGTGGTCTATAATTCAAAAGAGCAGCCTTGAAGGCAGAATAAAAGAGTGGAGAAGCCCTTAAAAGGGCAGCAATTGTAGTCTGAAGCATGTATATTTAAAGGGGGGAAGTCATGATTTAGCCATTCTGTCTGGCCAGATGCTGGAAAGTATAGGTTGTCTTGTGTCTCTGTGTATTTATTTTTGATTTCACCTCTCAAAATGTGTTTAAGTGGTGACAGCCTCTTCCATGTCCCCTGATGTCTCTGAGTCATCACTTCCAGCGCCTTTTTCAACCTTATAGGCTGTTCCAAGCAGCTTTATTTACCACACTTTACACCCCTTATTAGGTGGTCTTCTCTCTGCTGCAGTTTGAAAGCATTATGAACACTGATTCCTGTGGCTTATTTATTCTTACATGAAGAAGAGTTAAAAACTGAGGACTATTTTTGACTGCGAAACCTCAGGTCCTCAGGATTTTGATCCATTTAAATAAGCAGAGCTACCAGTACCTACCTTGTCCACCTTGGAGGTTCTCCAGATGCCAAATGGCATGACTACAGAGAAGACAGTCTTGTAACTGAAAATCGCAATGAAGAACAAATAATTTGCAAATGCACGCCCCTTGCAATATGCTCCCATTCCACACATTATCTCTGACTTTAGATAATTTATTTTTGTGGTTAACTATACATAACATGAAGTTTATGATTTTAACCATTTTTAAGTCTGTGAGTAGCATTAATTACCTTTATAGTGTCGTGCAACTGTCATCCCTCTTTCCAAAAATTTTATCACCTCAAACAGGTCTGTAACCTCTAAGCAGTGATGTCCCATTCTCCTGTCCTAGCCTCTGGTAGTTTCTACTTTCAGTTCTATAAATTTGCTTACTTTAGATACCTCACTTAATTGGGATCATAAGATATTTGTCCATTCATGCAGGCTTATTTCACTTAGCATATCCATATGTCTTTGAAACAGCTCTGTCCTGTGCCTTCAGCTGAGGTTTTGTTGTCAAATATTTGAGGAAAGAAAGGACTGACTAAAGTTATTGAACTGTGAAGATGTTACTGGATTTCCAGTGTGACAGTGCTACAGTCTGCCTATACAAATAGACTGTGGTGGGAATTATTTCTGACATCCTTAGCAAGCCTTGTCCAATTGGGGATCATTAAAGCACCTAACTTATGTGTAAAATATGCCAAAATAACTGGGCAGTGAAATCAAGCAGCCAGTTGGGTTATTAGAAAAAAACAAATTGAGCATGTGTTCGCCTGTAGACAAGTGGCGATGGACTGTGTGGACTAGTCATGTGTTAACCAATTGCCAACTTTCCGTTTCATTTAGTCTTAAGTGCATGTACATAGGGATGTATCCTATCTTGTGTTAAGCAGTTGACAACTGTCCCTTTCAGTTATTTTCAAGAGTGGTTGTTTTAGTTTGTGGCCCAATCTCACATACTCATGTTGAAGGAGACTCACAGATGACAGCTTGACAGTCATATCTAGCTGAGGCATTGCAGTGACCATAAGAAATGATGGCATGATGAAGGGCCACCAGCTCTCAGGAGTAGTCTTTTCATGCTCCAAAGTCTGGAGGTAGTGTGTCTTTCAATTAGAATGGCAAAAGTTTTCATTTCTCATTTTACCTCTTTACTAAATTGAAAGGTAGATTATAATCTCATGTTTAAGACGTTGTTGAGCATATCACAAAGCAGCTTGAAAATGAGCAAAGGATGCACATATTACTCATTACCTGTCTCATGCAAAAGGAGGCAGGAGATGTCCCCCACCCCGGGGTGTTCTCACTCACAGAACCTGTAATCATTCACTCTGGTTTTGAAATGTTCTCTTTCACAGCAGATGTATTATGTATCTGCAGTTTAGCTACTCTTAGTGTCACATTGCTATTCAAACAAATGAATCTCAGCTCACCAATAGGAATGTGGTGAAGGTTATTCAATTATTTCTTATATCCAGTGATTCAGTTAATTGAATAATTATGCAATTTTTTCATTGTATGTTTTTTTCTTTTTGCAGGAAAAGGGGATGCTCAGATCTCTGTCTTTCCAAGTGTAGTGTGCAAATCATCTTAACCTGTGTTTAACAAAGTTGTGCTTTTTCCTAATAAGTTCTAAATTGCCTTTAGGTTCCTTAGAGTTCTCTGATTCTAAACTTGTTAATTAACACATAGAGTGGACCTGAAGTCATCGCTTTGGTTTTACTTATTTATTTGTCACCTTATTTCTTGTTTGGTCTGAAGAAGTGGTTGCAGCATGAGCTTGTGCCAGCTGATGGACGTGGTGGTGACTATTTCCTTCCTCCCATTAATTCGTTTCTCTTCTTAAGAGACCATGAGATACTGCAGTCCAGTAGTGGGGCCTCTTTGTGTTGCTTCCTACTTGCTGTTTGACTTTGGACAAAAAAAAAAAAAAAAAAAAAAAAAAAAAATTCATTCTGAGCTTCTGAGCCCTCAGTTTGAAAATAGAACCATACTTACAATCACATTGAGGTATCTATTCTCTGGGCTAGTTAAAAAACAAGTGAGTTTAAAATTTTATCTCAGCAACCTAAAAGAAAATTTATTTTTAGATAAGGCAATCGAGCTAAAATAAGTATAGTCGTGTGACACTTAACAACAGAGATTCATTCTGAGAAATGTGTTCTTACATGATTTCCTCATCGTGTGAACATCATAGAGTGTTCTCACACAGACCTTACTGGCATAGGTCAATCGTTCAGTCTGGCCTCTTGGTGCACTCAAGAGATTCAGTCCCAACTTGAGATGTAGGAGCCTGCTGTCATCGTAAAGTGGTGTACTGTTTCACAGAAACTTTTTCTTTTCTTTTTAAGTGAGAGGAGTCCACTCTAAAATAAGGATAAGAAATGCAGTATAGTAAGTACATAAACCAATAATAATCATTTGTTATCAAATGCTAGGTACTATACATTATTGTACAAGCTATACTTTTATATGACTGACAGCAATAGGTTTGTGTATACCAGCATTATCTCAAACACACCAGAAATGTGTTGTGTGTTACATTGCCATGTCACTAGGCATGTAAATAGAAAATTTCCAGCTTCTTTATTATCTTATTGTTGTATATGCAGTTCATTGTTGATCAAAGCATCATTAATGCAGCATGTGACTGTATTAATAACTATTATAATATTCTCTTACAGTTTAGCTTAAAGAAAGGTCAAATCAGCTGGTTACCTTGGAGTAATTGAACTATGTGTCAGATTGGCTATAAATAAGGACAGTTAGATTTTGTTCCCCATCCCAAGTCCGTGTGTGTGTGTGTGTGTGTGTGTGTGTGTGTGTGTGTGTGTTTTACTGGAGATTAAAACCAGGGGCACTCTACCACTGAGCTATATCCCCAGCCCTCTTTTAATGTTTGAGACAGTTTCTTGCTAAGTTTCCCAGTCTGGCCTCGAATTTGTGGTACTTCTGCCTCAGCCTCCTGAGTAGCTGGTATTGTAGGTATGGCCTACACAACTGGCTCCCATCTAAAATCTTTATATTTAAAATTTTAAAGTCAGTTACAAAGACATCTGAAATTTTCCAAAAGTTTCTGTAGTTGGAAAAATGCCTTAAGCCTTTTTAAAAATTTATTTTAATTCATGTTATTCACAAAATATCCTTGTCTCCAGTGACTATTTATGCAGAATTTATGGCTGTGTCTAGGCCTGAATGGGGGCTCCTTTGATTGTCCATTATAAGTGCTCCTTCATCCTTTCTTTGTCATAGTCCTTGCCAAACAAAGTGATGTTTGTTTAGTTTATGCAAAGTTATTTTGATTTTAGCTTAAGTCAGTGAAATAGTTCCTTATTTAATTGTTAAAAATAGTGATACACCTATCTTCTGGATTATTTGTATCAATAATGCTTTCTATGACGTGGATATAGATTTCATTGCATTCTTGATCAAAAAAGTAGTTGCAGATTTTGTTCATTTATCAAAAATATGTGGGGACCCTAAAAGCCCAGCTGTGTGGTTGTTCACCAACGCCTCCTTTTTAAATGAGTTGTGTGAAATATAGGCCCAGCTGGACAGAGATAGTAGAGCCCAGATTTTCATTTCTTTGCCACATAGGTTAACAATGGCCTTGTGAAATGTCATTGAAGATGCCACTGGAGCAAGGTCAACATAAGGAAGCCAGAGAGTGAGGCGAATATGAATTATCAGAGGCCAGAATGATGTAAGCTTGCAGCTTTACCTTATAGGCCAGGAAGAGTTGAGGAATAGCTCCAGGTAGTAGTTAAACACTTTCATTTTAGTCTGTTTTCCAGACTACTTTACAATAGAAACTTTAGCCCCGACTCCTGCCATGCTATATATACAATCTTTCCCAAGGATAACATTCATATAAACAGGATAGAGAGATGACAAGCACATTCACAACTATTCCCATACACCAGTGTGGCTGGTGCATCTATTATTAGGGTGCTCTCATGCTAAAATTTTTATTATTATGACATTTCACTTTGGTATTTTAAAATTTCATCTCTGTCCCTTTTCATGTGTTAAATTTCAGTGACTCAGATATCCCACATCAGAACTATGTGAGACACGAGGGAGAAAAAAAGTGAAATAGACACAGCTACTGTCCTCAAGGGTCCCACAGTCTAGGGACAGAGAGAAAATCCCAGTCCAGACAGGGAGCTAACTGAGGCAATCAGGAAACAGCTTTACTCTGCTAATAACACACAAAGTAGAACCCTGTCTCAGGTTGATTAGGATCTGATTTCCTAAGAGAGTAGGCAGTGCTCTGTAAGTTTTATGAGAAACTCAGGTGATGTTGGCTCTTCGAGTTCTCAGTGCTGTGTTTAGACCCTGGGATTAAAAGAGTCCTTCTCACTGTCTCCCTTTAGAGAAAAGAGTTGTCATTTAGAGATCAGCAACTGGGGGAGGCCGGCCATCTGCTATGTAGAAAGGGCCAAAGAGGTTTCTGTGAAATGAATTAGGAGCCCCCACCTCCACTGGTGCTGCATAGTGATTATGAAAGAAAGTAAGTCTGATGTTTTAAATGGGAGTCTATGTCGGTCTGTTGTTTGAACCTCCTGGTAAATAACTTGCCATGGACTTGATTTATTGTTATCCTTCTTATCTCTACTACTTTGTAGAAATGTCATTAGAAGTTCTAAGATTCCTCTGAACTGCTGCATGTCTGGGGATAACATTTTCGAGACAAATGAGATTTCAAGGCAAAATATTAAATCTCGTGCAGGTCATTTGGGTCTCTTGAGTTGTTCACACTCTTTTGTTTTCAGACGAAAATTTACAGAAATAAAATCTATATCTAAAGCATACACATATGATATCACAGTTGGTTCAGGTATAAGTTGACATCCACCACCAGTGTTGGCCCAGACGTGTCATATCATTGGCAAGTATGTCTCTGTAGGACATTGAGTTCAAGGTATACAATTATAATTTTAGTTTTTCTATGCTAAATCAGGTTATTCTCCCGTTTGCTTTCCTTCTAATGCCAATTAAACACAAATCAACTGAGGAGTTGATCTGAGGAGGGAGACAAGGATGAAGAGCAAGGAGGAATCATATACGTAAGCAACTCAGGAAGTTTAGCTTTGATTCCTTTTTGGTTGAAACACAGAACAAGTGTTAGGTTTAGTTTCCCCTGCTCTAAAATAGGACTGTTAATTTTTTCATTTGGTGAATTTTCACACGAGTGCTAATCACACGTTTCTATAAATTATATTAATTTAACTTATTTCCCTAAATGTTGTTCTGCAGTGTGTAGCACGGATGTTCTCAGATTCTTGGCTGTGGAAGCTTGTTGCAGTTGGAAGCGGAACAGAAACATCTGAAAGGCATTATTTGGATTACGGATGCAGGAGCATCTGATCTCACCTTTTGCTCTGGTTCCTCAATCACAACTGTTCTTCCCCTTTGCATTTAATCTGCGTGTCCTGCCCTCTTCATCTTTGATACTGGCCCAGGGTTGGCTTTTGGAAAAAGCACTGTCATTGTATAAATATAAGCTTAAGGAATAGTGAATCCAGGTCATCATATTTGATGGTTTAGTTTGCAGAATAAATGCTTCAAGGTAAAAAGACAAAGAAGATCTGTGTGGGCTCCAATCTCTTTCTTAAAAAGGAGTATTTGTATATTTGAAAAAAAAATTACTATTATTTTCCTTCTTTTCAGAGTATGATTTCATCCATTGTAAATAGCACATATTATGCCAATGTGTCAGCAACCAAGTGCCAGGAGTTTGGGAGATGGTATAAAAAATATAAGAAGATTAAAGGTAAGCTGAAATTTTTGTTTTTAAAGCCTATTTTTAGATTCTTAGGTCAATGAGTTGTTGTTGGAATATATGCTAATTTCAGATTTTGTGTACATGTACACACACACTATATATAGTTTTTGTAAAGGTAAGATTCCTAATATTTCTGTCATGAGATCTATATTGGCTCCCTGAAAACTAAGATGGTATTAAAACTAAAAATAAAATTCTTAGCATAATGTACTAAGTTGGTAGCTTTGATCAGTGAAAATTGCAAAGGCCAAAATCCTTTAGAATGGAAATTTAAAAGCAGTTATTTTAGGTTAAATCAGCACTTATGGTTTGATTATTGATTATCAAACTGGAACAACTGTCACAGCATCAGGAGATCTTTGGTCAGAAATGTAGTTTTGACAATGTGTTTTTTCAGAGACCATTCTGAGCAGTGACTAAAACAAGGGCTATATACTTTAACAGATTTGTGTTCAGATCTCTTACACTTACCAGCTATCTGAACTTGAGCAAATTATTTAACTTCATCAAGACTCTCTTCATCTTCAAATTCAAAATAATGAAAATTTTCAAGTTACTGGTAGTTGTGAGGACAAAATAAGATAATATTGGCACAATCACTTAATAATTAGTAGCTATAATACTATAATAATAATTAACAGTACTAGTAGTAGGACAAGAAGTAATGTATTGTATATGGAATTATGTTTGGTCCTGAAAAATGCAGCAATAGCATGCTATTTGGATCACCCATTGTTCTTTAAACATATCAGGGATATTTTACCTTTGCAAATATATTAATGTTAGAAAGATTCTATTACTGTCATTCCACTTAAGATGAGTGTGACCAGTTTCTGAGGGAATTGGGGGTATTTTTGTAGCATTGATGTTTGAGGGTCCATCCAATCCATAGTTTGCATGACAATGACTGTGTCTATCATGTTGTATTGTTGGTATTCATAGCTGATTGAGAGCTCACTGCCCCATCTAAGTGCCACAGGACAATTTGTGGTGAGCAGGTAAAAGTAAATGATGAATTTATTTGTCTGACCACCTGCAGACATCCTCAGAGGGGTCAGCCTACTAACGTAATGCTGTTGGCTATTGAGTGTTTGGAAGCTTGTTCACACAGTTATCTTTTGAGGAACTGAGCTTCACATACATTGGCACATTGCTGATGATAAAGGAAAGCATTTTATGCTAAATATATAATTTAAAAGAAAAGTCAAAATGTTGAGCTACCCAGGAGAAATTAAGTGCCCTGAAAATTGAATTAAGATCCATTCCTTTTCAGTGTATTCTAAAATTCTTAAAGCCCTTTAGAGTCTGGTTTGGGAACATGCTTTAGAATATTAATACTTGACCCTTGTGTAGGAGAAGATGAATAACTCCTCGTTATAAGACATAATTGAGTGGTTCAGAAGGGTTTCTTTTTCTGTAAGTGTTGTCTCCCAATTTTTCTTTTAAAATTGGATTGTTAAAGTGCTTGAACATATCCTCTTTGACTAAAACTCAAAAGAATCACACAGCTTCAAGGTCATTTGTTAGATCCCATTAACTTTTGTGATAAGCGAAAAGAAGAGTCCTCTTTTAATATGCTAGAGTATAATTCCATATTCGGAAAGACTGAAAACTCTTCACTGTTTTCAGAATTACCACCACGGTGTGTGTGTGTATGTGTGTGTGTGTGTGTGTGTGTGTGTATACATTAACACTCATGTCTCTTCTTTTTTAGAGATTGAATTCTTCAAGCTTTATATTTTTTCAAGATAGTAAATGCACAGTTAAATCTTTAAGTGCCATAAAAGCAGACTGAGACCTTGATTTCATTCAGTAGGTCAAGGATCCACGCCTGAAGAGGCTGTCAGACACTGTGTACACATGCTATTCAAAGAGATGGAGCTAGTCATTACTGTTGAGAAGTGTGTGTGTCTGTGTGTGTGTCAGTAGGAGGAGAAAAGGGAAGGTTAAGGTATGTGTGAAGTAAACACAAGCTGCCATAAAACAGTTCAAGTGGTGTTGATTCATCAACCAAGGGAGTGGGAGGAAAAACAAAGAATTCATGACAGGTATAATGGTGTACAGAGAATAAACACCCATAGAAGTGTGTTTTATTAACTTTCGACCCTCAGAAAAAAGGAAGTATTGGACCAAGATGGGAATATTTCATTTGCTAGATGTTTCTTGCAGGGAATAGATGTCACAGTGGGAGTTCCTACCTCGTGGGACCCATTTCTCATGGGGAAGTAATGGTTTGATTTGAACAGCTAGTTTGCTCCCATCCATTTTTGAAATAAAAGAAGTAATGAATTCCAAATCTGGAAATGAGTAGTGAAAAAACTAGAATTCTACTTTGGGGCTCCTCCTTAGAACCCAGAAGTCAGAGTTCCAAGTACCTCTTTGGCTCCCCCTTCACATTTCTACCCCAGAGTTATCCGCTTGCATCTACCATGGCTGTATCTTCAGTGTAGGAGAAAATCTCAAGCCAGCTTACTGATGTCCCAAAGTAAATGCAGACTACATTGTTAAATATGTTTCCTATTATCTGCTAATGTCTGTTTTAATAAAACAGTGGGAACTAAATGGTTTGCTTCTTAATCAAAACCATGATTTCCTAAACATAAGCTATGTGATTCTGTTACAAATTGCCACATATAGATCTCCTAGGTCAATTTTTTTCTTTTTTCATAGAAATAAATAAACAGTAAAATAATTATATACTCTGAAAGATCAAAGTAAATATGACTAAAACCTGGCAAAAATAAAAGTCTACTGGAAGGATTAAAAAAAAAGATCAGATTGCAAATTCTATAGTTAATGCTTAAATAAATATGAGAAAAATGAGCAATCAATAATTTGATATCATTAAAAACAGATGTAAAAACTATATACAAATGGAATTGTCTAAATTTTGAAGTAAACATTTTAATGTGCATTTTTTGAATTTGTTGTTATTACAGCTAAACTATTTACACTTATTCTTTAAAAAGTCCTAAATTGGTTTGGCTTAGAATGTTAACTTTATTTTCCCCAGTGATCACAGAAAAGCACATTCTGTTTACCCTTTTTCTTTAATTTCAAAGACAATCAAAGTTGACACAGACATTTGAGTTAACATTAATGATACTTTAGGAGAGATGGGGAGACAGAATTTGTATACTCTGAGTTCAGGATCTGAGACCGTGAACCTGCTTTCCGGTAGTTTTCCATGTTGAAGGAAATGGAGGGATGGATGGGATGATTGGCTGGTATAGACAACATTTTCTAAAAATTACTGCCCATCATTGGGTGTGGTATCATACCCCTGAAATCCCAGCAACTCCGGAGGCTGACACTGGAGGATAGCAAGTTTGAGGCCAGCCTTATCAATTTAGCAATTCCCTAAGCAACTTAGGTCTCAAAATAAAAAGTAAAAGGATTGGAGATTTAGTTCAGTGGTAAAGTGCCCTTGGGTTCAGTCTCCAGTACCTAACTAACTAACTAACTAACTAAATTTGCCACTCATCTTATCCTAGCATTGCTTCTGGTCTAGATTTTATCATGTAGAATTTATAAACTCCCAAGTATAAGGAAAAATATATTTTGTCTAGAAGCAAAAAACAAAAGTTGCTTAATATTGAGGAGATTTAGTGTTGGACACGCAGATAATCCTAGACGTCTAGAAACATTCATGGTATTACAAAATTATTTTGAGGTCTTGGTATTGTGAGGGATTTACCCCACTGATTTTTATCCACTGTTGTTTTGTATGAGCTCTAGATGTGAATTTGTCCCATCATTTTTATGAAACTAAGAGGTATTTATATATGCCATACCACCAAAATCATACTCTTATGGCAATCTACTTTTGCAGTGGAAATAAGAAAAGTACTTTAACAATGATGATATATGTTTTAAATGTATCCTAATAATAAATTAAAAGAAATAATTTTATATTTAAAATATTTTTCATCAAAAATGTTTTATTTCTGAAAGCAAAATGAATTATCATCTTTGCTGGGGTGGGGTCAACCTGAAATATTTAATATGTATCAAGAATCAAAGGGTCATTCAAAGTTCACATAAATACTGGTGGCTATCATAAAATTATTTGTGTCATAAAATAATATCATCAGAATGAATAGACCTAACCAAATCCTGTATTTTGTCCAAGGTGCAAAATTATTCCCATCATGTTTTTTCTCTGTCATTTCTCAAGAACCCTTGATTGTGTTTTCTTAAATCTTATTTGTTTATTTGAGCTTATTTTTCGCAAAAAAAAAAAAAAAAAAAAAAAAATATATATATATAGGACAAAAGCGGGTTTTAAAAGCCAGTGTTACTTTCCTGAGCCTGGTTTATTCTAGTAATCAGTATTTTATCTGACCCTGTCTGATCTAGTCTTGCAAGATCAAACGTCCAGGCCAGCAAGCAGACGGTAAACAAAGCCCATGAAGGGTTTCAGTAAACACAAAGATTAGATGTTGAATGAAAATTAAACTCCTTGAACTAGTCTTCTGTACTAAAGTGGTTAAGTGGGTTGTGATTAAAAGAAATAAGTAATTATGATCATTATAGCTGAAATGATATAATGTTACCACATTTAAAGCACCTCTTGTACCCAAAAATGATTGTGTCATTTACAAAGTGGTGCCTCAGAGTTGAATAGAGAAATCAATGTCCCCTGACCTGGTTCCATAAGGCAGCCCTTGCTTAGCCACGGTGGGATGGGCGGTCAGGACAATGCCTTTAATCAGCTCTCGGTACTTCTGCCTCTGCTGTTGTTTAGCTCTGATGAGGTAAAAGTAACTTACTTTTGTCTACCTAATTCTTGAGTCATGAAAGAAATTTGCTTTCACCTTCAGATCTAAATGAAGGTATCCTGCTAGGAACTTTGTCTGCTCACAGCCTGTATTGTTTCTTGCAGAAACTAATACCAACATCCAGTCCTTTGAGTTTTGTATAAATATTGGATTCACAACAATAGAAACATTACTTCCACAACCAGCCATTTTCCATCTTGCTGGCTT